AGATATGTAGCATCTGAAACAAATTCTACTTCTGCTCGTACTTTTCCGAATGCTTCTCTAATTATTTCTATAGATTTAACTCTTCCTAGACCACGCACTGATTCGAAAATATGTGTTCTTTTAACCCAGCTTGGTAAATTCCATACTGTAATTGTATCTTTTTCTGCTATGTCTTGATAATAACAAGCAGCACGGCTGAGGGCTTGATCAATAGCCTCGTTATGCTAAAGTTACATTGGATGTTCTTATAAATATTGATTATTTATGACGATGATACGTGTAAAAAAAAGGTACCTGACGATTAATGTTAATAACTTCCTCGACGACTTTATTGTGCTCATTTTGTAATTCATCGTGTTTTGAGGAAATTAAACCTAATTGCGATTCAAGAGACTCTGCTTTAGACTAATTCACAGAATTAGATCAAATGTTTTTTTGGCATTTAATATGATTGATACTTAAAATAATGTGTGCAAGAATATTTTATTTTAATAGAACCAACAGTTTACCTTCCAAGTCTCCATAGTCCTAGACAGTTCTTCTATTTTTGTTACACTGTCAGCTTGTTCTTGATCAAATTTGAACATAACTTTATTATATTGTATTTGAAGATCAAGATCTGGTACATCAGTTGTTCCAATAGCCACTAATAATTATTGAAATTACTAGGAATTAATCCTTTAAACTCAAAGCGAAAACTACCATAAAGAAAATAACGTACCAGATATCCGATTTGTATGTTTATATTCAATTTCGCTCAATTGAGCTTCCAACTGGGAAATCCTACATAATTGAATTCAAGTAAAAAAAAAATAATAATAATATGTAATCTTTGAGACTTTAAAGGGTGATATAGGAAATAAACGTACTTTAGTTTGGCATTATCAATCTCTTGAAGCATTTCCTCTAATTTTCGGTTTGAATTTCGTAAATCATCCTCAACACGAAAGCGTTCAGAACGTTCGTCACGATAATCAGATTCCAGACGCAATCGTTGAGAACGTTCTTCTCGACATTCAGATTCTAATTTAGTACGTTCACTACGCCATTCTGTTTCTAGTTGACAACGTTCTTTGTGAAACTGAGTTTGCAAACGATGTCGTTCATCGTGAAATTCAGTTTCGAGTCGTTGACGTTCGACAATTTGCTGAGCACGTGTGGCATCTAATTCTTTTTGGAGTAAATCGAGATCATTCTTCATATTAATCTTAATTTGATCAAGCTCTTGCCGAAGGCGTTCACATTCAGTTTCCGATATACATAAAGAAGATATTCTATATTATTGAAATAAGTACATAAATTATGATTACTGTGCGTAAGTTAAAATATTTCATAATTCATATTTTAAATACCGTTGATCCTTCTCAGTAATGACCAAATTAAGTTGCGTTACTTCTGTTCGAATTAATTCTAACTCTTGTTGGCATTGTTGAATATTCTTTGTAAGTACACTAATCCTATTATCACATTCATTAATGCACAATAAAAATATTATTTTTGTTACCAAAAAAGGATCTGAATTTTAAAATGTAATGTTATCTATTGTATTAAAAAAATATATTAGACCTTTCTTCACTTTCTTTTTGATTTGTCGTCAATGTTTTATTGTTGTCTTCGGACAATTTTAACAAAGATTCTAAATTCTGACATTTGTTCATATGTTCTATTCTTTCCGTGTCATGTTCATGTAACAATGACTCCAATTTTTCACGCATTGATTCAAGCTCTGATGCATAGCATGATGACTTGGCATCCGAATCTTGTACTAACTGACGAAGTTGGGCAATGACATTATTGAGTTGCGTATTAGCTTCAGTGAGATGCGTGTTTAGATCGGTAAGTTGTGTGATTTGAGACCGTTCTTCATAATATATATTTTCAAAAAAAAAAAAATAATAATAATACTATTATTAAATTGTATTAAATTATAACAAGATCTCATATATACATACGTGATTGAAAATTAGATTCATGACTTTCAGAAATGGATTTGTGTTGTGTAGCGAGTTTATTGAATTCTGTCAACGTAGATTCACAAAGTAAGTTTATTAATATTATTATGTTTTATGATTATCATAGTTCCAATAAATTATCCTAACAAATTTTTCACGGCACCACATTTCAAAGACTCAATTTCACTTTCAATACGACTCTTTTCATATCGTACTTCTTCCATACGTTTCAACATATTTGACAAACTATTACGATATAAGTAATATTTTGATTTCATTTTTTCAATTCTCTCACGATTGTGATCGGTATAAGCTTGCTGGCGTTTTATTAGCGCTTCAACAATGAACATACGCTCCATATATAATGATAAAGAATGATCTCGTTTCTCAATGATTTTTTTTAATTCATGAATTTCACCATGCTATATAGATTAATATTATGAGTGAGTTATATATTATAGAAATTATGTGATGATTAAAAAGTCAACGACTCTCACCAGTTCTTTGATCAATGAATCCTTTTTAGAAAACTCGCTTTTCCATTTTTGAGCAACTTCAATTATAATACCCAAATCATCACTTTCATTTTTTTCTTGAAGGTCATCAATGTTTGAATCTTTTCTAGAATTCTTTGAATTAACCTGAGGACAAGATGTTATGGAATTCGAAGTAGATACATTAATAGGTATGCATTCATCAATTGATGATATATCAGGTTGATTATGTGAGTAGGATAAACTTTCTGAAGAAAGATTTTGATCATCTTTCAAAGATGAATTAACATCTTGAGAATTTTGTATTATATGTGGTTCAAGATCATTATCATCAATTTCCACATCTTGAGTTTGACGAATTTGTAAATCTTTCATAAGAGTATTATCTAATTTTAGAGGTAATAATTCTTCATCAGGAGGTGGAGAAGAACATTTCGGATTTAATTCTGGTGAAATAATTAATTCACAATTTGTTGAAGTTTCTTGATTAATATTTTTATCAACAGTTATGCAAGAATTAGGTGGATTTTTCTCAGTTATAGATTCATCAATTTCAGATTCAGAATTGGAATGTTTTATAGAAAATCTCTTTGAAAATAAAGAAACATCTAAAGAAGGATTATCTGATAAGAAATTTGATTTTTGTAAAGAATCATTGGAAGATTGTAAATTGGAATTTGGAACATTTTTTTGAAAATCTTTAAAAGATAAACGTGTAGTATTTGTTTTTGTTCTGAAATGAGGTTGTGCAAAGACATTTAACGCTGGTTTTGAGGAAGTACCGATCCCTTTTGAATCATCTGATTTGCTTGATCTTTCTGACATACTCTTTACAGAATCTGGGTTAGAAAGCATACGCTAGAAACAAGGTAGGTTTTCTCATAAGACGTTCCAGTTCTTGGGCTTCAATTTTTTGATTTCTAATTTATTTAATTATTGTTATAATTATTGTTATTTAAATAATTAATCATGTAATATATTAAACTATATAATTAAGCTGAAATAATAACTATAACTAATGACAAATTTTTGTTTTAAACCAAGATAATGACATTTAATCATAAAACCAGTAATTTTAACCTTTATTTCTTAAATCGTTTTTCTGGTCTAGAATTTTTATGCGAGAGAAATGCAACAAGAGAAAAACCTGATATGTGATGCCAAAAAAAAAAAACCAAACAACTGAAGTTTAAATTTATCCATATCGGTTTCGGCTCTTAAAAAAAGTTGTAGCGGTAGGATAATAAATAAATTCAACATCAGAAGGTGATCATTCAATATTGTAATAATAGATTATCGTTTATCATAAATTCACGTGCTTGTATGCACATTTTGGCATGTCCAAACGTCCGAGTGCCCTAATTTCCCCCACCACTTCTGATTGGCTGTACTAATTACTCACTCATTGGAGCCAATCAAATTTAACGATCAGGTGTAACGTAAAAGAAACGTAAAAATACAAAAATCGCTCATAACTTTAAATTCAACTTATGAAACTGTCTTCTGCGCACTAATAAAAAGTTTCCTTGAAAAATTTTGGTATAAGAAATACCTTCTTATTATAACCTAATGACAAAATACTAACTCTAGCCCAACAGCGAGAATTTTTACTTGAAAATTTTTTTTGATTAATACTCTGATAATTAAATAATAGTATAGCCAATCAGAAGTGGTGGGAAAAATTAGTAAATCCCAAACGTCTAAGTGTCCAAAGTGTCCAAGCTGTCCACAGCCTTAAATATTTTAGTAATAAAAATAAAAATTATATGATTATATTCTTTATTTAATTCTAAACATTTTTGTTTAAAAGATTTAAATATGTTATTTTTATAAATTTTTGAGTAAATTCATTTTATTTTTTTGTTCAAAATATCCAAAATCTTGTCTAAAGGCTGTCCATGTACATCACTGGTAGTTAGTATCGACAATATGATTTGAAAGAAAACTTGATCTGAAAGCAATAATAATTTAACAAAACGAAAACTTTGCTTTTCATATCTAGTACATATCGAGTATTTAAAATTCTATTGTTATATTGTTTTATTATGAATTAAATATATTACTCAAAGGAATTTCAGTTGTTATATAGTACTAAAACGAAAGGTTTATTATTATGCATAGCAGTAAATAGTTACTAGTTACACATTTTGTCACACTAATTTTAATAGTAAATATATATATATTCTAACACTAGTACTAGTAAAGCAAATTCAATTCTGTAACTTGGAAATGATATTTAGATAGTGTGGTTATAAAACTATGTTATGACATTTAAGAATTTATGACTAAAAAAACATTTAATCTTTTAATTATATTAACAAAATATATTTGAAAATATCTTAACATAGTTTTAAATTAGGATATTAATTTGAAAAGATAGTCCTGAACTTGATTAGAAATATTAAATTACGAATTCAGTTCAGTTTAGTTCTAAAATCTGAAATGACAGTTCTGAACTCAATTCAAAAAATGATGGTTAATTAATTCCAGACTAGGTTCTGGATTACAATTCTTCACATAGTTTATCTAATCAGATTGATAATTTATCATTAGATATAAAAAACTTTACTGTTGTCTAATATTTAATATTTTCAATATTTTATTTGAGTAAAAGAAGTTATATGTACAAAAATATAAAAAACAAATTTATATCATAAAAAAAAATTTATATAAAAAAATAAATTTATATAAAAAAAAAAAGATTTATATAAAACAAATTTTATATAAAAAAAAAAAATTTATATAAAAAAAAAAGATTTATATAAAAAAAAAAAAAAAAAAAAAAAATTATTTATTAATTATCTGCTTTTTTATTTAATAGATTATTTAGTTCTCTATATCAGCTTTTCAAACACAAGGATGCATGAGTTACTTTAGAGTTTAAGTGATTTTGAATAAAACTAATTATATACTTGATAACTAAGAAAGCTTATTTGCTTAGCATGCTAGTTATTTGTATAGCAAGAAAGTCTATTGCAAAGTAGGAAAGAGTTAGAAACAAAGCAGTATTTGCTTTTTACCAAAAAAGTAGCTCTACTTTAGTTTTAATATTAGCTAAATATTTGTCAATTTTATATTAATTCAAGTTAGTCTAGTAGCTGTATTAAGATTACGAAAAAGTATATATATTGCTTTAGTAGTAGTGAGAGGTAGAAGTAGATTATTTTCTTTAGTTAGTTTATATTTTTATACAATTCATGAAGTTTATTGATAGCTTGTTTATATTTATAAATATCAAAGATTAAAAGTTTATTGCAAGGATCAAGACAACCTAAGATTGTCAAAAATTTTTTTAAATGAATCTAATATAATATAAATTTTTTTTCATTGTACTAGCTACAACATATGTAAATTAATTCTAGAACTTTTATTTTTATTTAAGTGTATATATAATAAGGCTACAGAATATTATATACAAGTTACCTTAAGTAGAAAGTATGAACAAAGATAATATTATAGTTATCAATAACATTCTATGACTCTTTCCATAGATCATTTTAACCAACTTTAGAGCTAAAGGAAAAACACTTATATCTAAAAATCGGTATTAAGTAACATTACATAAGTCATTAAGAAAAAGGAAAGAGACCATATAATTACACTTAGTAAAGATAAAATCTTTAGAAAACTCTAAGTGTATATAGAAGAAAACACGTTTAATCAAAAAAT